TGGGCTCCTGGAGGGACTCTGCACCCAGTGCCTCGGGGGGCGGAAGATGCACCTGACAGCCTGCTGTCCTGAAGGAATTACGGGCTTCGGAGGGGTGGAAATGGGCAAGAAACGGGAAACAGCAGAAAACAGCAAGTGCCCCAGAGGGGTATGAGATGCCCCGTGGACTCGGGTGCGGGAGAGGGCGCTGGTTGCACCAGGAGGCAGGGAGGCTGATTGTTGAGGAGTTGGCGATAAATAAGGAAAGGTGTCTTTAAAGAGGTGGCATTGAGATAGGTCGAGAACGTGTTTCCCAGAATCGTTCTACACCCTCGTCTGACCCTCTGCAGCCAGAGTTATCCAGGCCACTAGCCTGCTGCCCTAGGGCACCAGAATCATGTCTTCTGAACAGGGCTGTGGGGGTCTTTCCACCTGCCGACCTCTTATCCCCTCCTCTCCCGCCGGCTCCCCCCTGGAGAGGACCCTGAAGTGTGAGTGTGGGATCAATGGTCTGGTGAGGGACTGGGTTCCAGATGTTTCGCTGCAAACCTGAGCATCGCGGTCAGCTTAGATCTGTGCACACACTCCTGGCCTTGGCACATAGGATGTTTATAACTGCACCTTGACCCAGCCCTTAGGGTAGGTGAGCATGGAATGTGAAAACACATTCGGGATAGTCTTTGAATTCAGGCTTACATTTAAATATTTGCAGCTGTCCAACTGGTTTTTTTTTTTTTAAATAGAGATACTGGGGATTGAACCCAAGACCTCATGCATGCTAAGCACGCACTCTACAGCTGGGTGACACACCCCTCCTGGTCTTGTCTTTTAAAGAAACATGATTCAAACCTCTGGGTTTGTCCGGTGTCTGCCATTCCAGCCCCCGAGACAAGGAGCTGTGACTGCAAGATGGGTGCACGGGCCCAGCTCCTGGCAGCTTAGGCTGCCTTGGGATGGAGGTCCTAGGCTGGGTCCCTCAAGAGCACTTAGTGGGGACATGAGACTGCCTTTGAGAGGAGGGGGGTTACAAGCACTGCGTCACTGAACTCTGTAAAGCAGTAGCTAACTTCGTTTTGTAGTCACACTGTTTTTCCTCTTTTCTCTGTAAGCCCCATCTTCTCTGCTGCTCACCCCCGCCCCCCACCAGAGAGAAAGCCCAATTCTTTACTCCCCAGAGAAATCAGAAAATGGTTGTAATAAAGTCATAACGGATCGCATGACATGTTAAGGTTGTGAGTTTACAGGCAAAGGTGCTAGCGTGGCGATGTGATTTATCCTTCAGTTTCTCCACTATCCTGCTGCAGGGGGAAAGAAGGTATTAATAACCCGTCATGCAAGAAAAAAAATTGACACTACTATAAAAATAATCCTTCACTATCTGTTTTTTCTTCACTGGCCTCCCACTGCTAAACTAAATGAGTAACGTTGTGAAAGTATCCATTCTTTACCATCAAAATATTAGCCTTAATTTGATTTTTCTCTTTCGCTTTTGTCTTCATGTGAGGGGAATAAAGCTAGCTAAAAATAACTGTGATAATTCTCCACCTAGCAGTTCCCCAGCAGGTGCCAAGAAACGTACAGATCTTGTGATGGGTGGATCAGCCCTGAAATATTACAAGAATTACCAAAATGTGGACTTGAGGGAGGAAGCGAGGTGCCAGCATTGATACAGGAAACGCTTTGCATTGTATTGCACTTGCTTTCAGGGTAGCCTACTTCCTTCTCAAGGTCTCACCTGCTTATATAGTCACCTTACTATTTTGCGTTAAGCTCGGTTATTGTATTCTTTTACACATGGGTAGGAGGCTCTGGTTGCATGCTCTTGAATTTAGAATACTTCCCTCTGCAAGAAATAAAAAGCCCATATCAAACTGGTTTTAGCGGTAAAGGGAGTTTTATTGGCTTATCTTGCTGAAAAATCTGAAAGTAGATGACTTCAGGTTAGGGTTGATCCAGCCCCTCCATAGTGTTGCCGCAGACTTGGTTTCTTTCCTTTTGCCAGCTGTACCTCTGCTTTAGATCAAGAGTGGTCCCAAGATGACCGGCAGCAGCTTTGGTGGGGGGGAGGGGTAGTCAAAGTGTCTCAGAAAAAACTTTGTCTCCATATTCTTACTTAGGTCTAACTTAGGTCATATGCCTGTCACTGGAGCTGGGAGAATACAGTGCACTGATTGGCTTAGCCTAGGTCACAGGATCTGTGTCTGTAATTGGGGGTGGAGTCTGCTTCCCAGAACCAAAGATCCCTAGAGATAGATGTTGTTGCGAAGGGAAGAGGAGAGAGGTGATGCTGGAGAAGGAACCAACACATGTCTAGTGCATATGGCTTATCAGTCCCTATAGCATGAACAAAGTATACACAAGCAGACCTCAGAGATACTGCAGGTCGGTTCCAGACCACGGCAGGAAACTGAGTCACACGAATTCTTTTGTTTCCCAGTGCATATAAAAGTTAATGTTTACACCATAGTGTCATCTATTTGCTGTACAATAATAGCATTATGTCTTTAAAAATAATGCACATACCTTAATTTTAAAAAACTTATTGCTAAAAAATGCTAACCATCATCTGAACCTTCAGTGAGTTATAATGTTTTTGCAATAGTAACATCCAGGATCTCTGGTCACAGATCACCATAACAAATATAATAATAATAACGTTTGAAGTATTACAAGAATTACCAAAATGTGGCACCGAGACACAAAGTGAGCAAATGCTGTTGCAAAAATGGAGACAACAGACTTGCTCAACACAGGGTGGCCACAAAGCTTCAATTTGTAAAAACTGTGGTATCTGTGAAGTGCCGTAAAGCAAAGCACAGTAAAGTGAGGTATGCCTGTATTTTGTTGTTCTTGTTGTGAGCGTTTCAACTGATAAATACTGTGCCAGAAATACGTCACTGAAGGCAGGGCCCTGTATATTTTTCTGCCGGTTCCCTGGTCCTCATCCCTGCTTTTCCTAGAGCTTGTTGGAAGAGAGGTCAAGAAGGGAGCTCCTTCCATGGGCCCTGAATCTGAAATGGGGAGAAGGATGAGAGCAGAGAAATGGAGGCATTATTGTCTGTTGGATAAAATGTAATTCATGAAAAGAATTTTTATTCTTTGCAACACTGTTCGTAGAGGAACAAGCTTAATGCAACTGAAATATAGTAAGAAACATCTTTTGAATTTGTCCATTTCCCACAATTTAGACGTTCCCGTTTACAATTCTGTTGTTGTCCCCCCTCCCCCTGCCCTGCCCTGTGCCACGTCCTTGTCCACACCTGGCTTTTCAGTGAACAATAAAGAACGTGTGAATGCATGTAAATGACCCGGGCTCTCTTCCGCCTTCCCTCTTCAGTGGGCAGTTTGCAGTCGTGAAGAAATGCCGTGAGAAAAGCACCGGTCTACAGTATGCGGCCAAATTCATCAAGAAAAGGAGGACCAAATCCAGCCGGCGGGGTGTGAGCCGGGAGGACATCGAGCGGGAGGTCAGCATCCTGAAGGAGATCCAGCACCCCAACGTCATCACCCTGCACGAGGTTTACGAGAACAAGACGGATGTCATCCTGATCCTGGAACTGTGAGTGCAGTGGCGGGGCCACACACACACACACACACACACGCAGGATTTTTCACCATTGCTGTCAGCACTCATTACATGAAAGGGTAAAATTGAACCGGAATCACTCAGGGGCGATTATAGGACTTGTTTTTGAAGCGTTTAGCTTATGTTCTCGGGCACACCCTGCCCATCGGGGATGTTACTGTGGGAAATTGATTGGAGCACGTTGTGCTGGGACGCATCCCTCTGTCCCTGGCGCTCTGCCTGGCGGCCCCGCTCCTTGTGATGAGTCCAGCAGCGTGGGCTGTGGGCTGGCTGGCGGGAGAGGAGAGGAAGTCCTCCAGGAACGCGCAGCAGGGAGCGTCTCTGGGCTGTTTGGATGGAGGAGACATTAGTACTCTGAGGGCAGAGGGAGGGATGGATGGAGCAAGATCGGGTGGTTCTTAGTGACGACAGACCCCACCCGTTTCCTGGAGCCCTAGATTCGGATGTGCCCTTCCACCAGCCCAGAAGCTCCCCCTTATTTGCAGATCTCTTAGGGCCAAGAGGTGATTTTTGAGACTAGAGGAGATGGAAGTGAAGGGAGGTTTATGGAGGACGCAGCCCAACCCCGGGCCACCGCACTGTGGGGACCTGGCTTTGCAGTCATAGGGCCTGGGGTGCTCACAGATTCTTGTCTTGTCACGGGAACCTGGGTACACTCCTTTCTGCATCCGAGCAACAACCTTCTTAACTATAAATTTGGGTCAGTAATACCTACCTCATCTACCTACCTATTTTGCTTTGAGGAGATAAATGATACGAGAATTTAGGCGTACGCAGTGTCTGGCTCATGGATGTGTTTAATACATGTTTCTAGGAAGTTCGCAGCCTCTGCACTGGTGACGTTTTGGGCTGCATAAATCCTCGTTCAGGGGGCATTGTAGGATGTTGAGCAGTATCTCTGGCTTCTACCCACCAAATTCCCCAGCTGTGACACCAAAAATGCCTCCAGACATTGCCCCATGTCCCTTGAGGGCAGAATCTTTTATCTCCCTTCCCCCCTCCCCTCACTGAGAACCACTGCTGTATGGGAAGAGCAGGACTTAAGACCACAGAGGATTAAGGCGCCTGCTCAGGCTTCAGCAGAGAAAGGAGCGGAATCACATTATAATCCTCGCTGTGGCTTTATTGGAAACCAGACAGAACTGCGATCAAAATCGAGGGCAAATCCTTTATCATCTCTGAGACTAAATTTCCTCCCTTAAGGCTGTTACAAGAGATGATGAATGCAAAGTTCCTGAGAAAGAAATTAGATAGATCACAACTGTTTTGACTTTTCAGAGAATAGCCCAAGAATGTCATTAATCCCCTTTATATACCAAAATAGACAAATGATGCCTGTAAGTTATTGCAACCTGCTCATGTAAATTCTGGGTTCAGCTTCTGTGGACTGACCCCTAGTCCATAGATATGTTCCCTTAGGTGCATTTATCCTATGTATAAGATGGGTGTCATACAGTTACTTTTTTACCACTTGATTAAAAAAATTTTTTTTAATTATACAGTGAATTTGATGTTGGAGGAGGGTTGTATAATTCTATGAAAGTTAACACGTGTAGATTTGTGTAACTGCCACCCAAATCAGGATGCAGAATAGTCGCATCACCCCCAAAACTCCCTGGTACTAGCCCCTTATGGTCACACCTACCTTCCACCCCGTGCCCTCTGGCAGTCATTGGCTCCATCACTGTAGTTTTGTCTCTTCATAAATCATATAAATAGGATTATACAGTATTCAATCTTTTGAGACTGGCTTCGTTCATTCAGCGTAATGCGTTGAAGATTTGTGCATGAGAGTCCCTTGCTCTTTTTTACTGCTGAGTCGTATTCCACTGTGTGGTGTTTATCTCTTCACCCACTGAAGGACATTTGAATTGCTTGTAGTATTTGGTGATCATGAGGAAAACTACTATAAACATGCAGGCTTGTGTGTAAACATAAGTTTTCATTTCTGTGGGGTAAATACCATGGAGTGGGATTGCTGAGTCATGTGGTAACTGCACGTTTAATTTTAGAAGAAACTGCCAAACTGTTTTCTGAAGTAGCTGCACCATTTTACAACCCGTCCAGTGGCTCCATCAGCACTTGTTATCGTCAATATTTGTTTTTTGGGTTTTTTGGTTGAAGTATAGTCAGTCCTTCTACTCCACCATCTTGGCATTCCCCCGTCCAGTATTTATGTTTAATTGTAACCATTCTGTTAGGTGCTTTACGTGGTTCATTGCTTGGCAACCTTGAAAAAAAACTGAGCAAGCTTATGAAGAGTGGCTGTTAGGTGGAAGGGGCAGGAGGGGCCTTAGGAGACGGCCCCTTCCCCACAGGGTCAGATGCATGTTTGTCTCCCCTGGGTATTTGTTCCTCAGATTCCAGCATCCCCTGTGAGCTGATTGTCTCTGCCTTTTCACCCACCAGGCATGTGAAGGGTGGTGGTGGTTACTTTTATGTGTCAATTGACTGGGCCACAGGGTATCCTGACATTTGGTTAAGCATTATTCTGGATTGTGTCTTGAGGGTGTTTCTGGGTAAGATTAACATTTGAATCAGTAGACTGAGTAAAGCGGATTGCCCTTGCCAGTGGTAGGTGGGCCTCGTCTAATCAGTTGAAGGCCTGAATAGAACAAAAAAGCTGACTTTACCCTGAATAAAAGGGAATTCCTTCTACCTGATGGCCTTCAAGCAGGGACATTGGCTTTTTCCTGCCTTCAGACTGGAGGTGAAACATTGGATCTCCTGCGTCACCAGCTGGGTCCTGTCGACTCACCTTGTCAGCCTCCATGATTGTGTGAGTCAGCTCCTTAAAAATAAATCTTTCTCTCTTTGTATATGTACATCCTGTTGGTTCTGGTTCTCTGGAGAACCCTGACTAGTACAGGGGGACTAAGGCCTGAGGAGGGAACGTTCACCCTTGTTTTCATGTCACAAGTCTGCCCCGTTTTGTATCCACAGGTACTTTGCCATGAAGAGGTGCTGTAATTTTTAATAGACTATTCAAAATATTAGATCTGCCCCAGAGAAAGAGTCATCTTTGCCTTTGAGAAAATTATTGTCGTTCTAACAGCTTTAAAGGAAGATTGAGTCACCAGTGACTTATCCCATCTCCTCTTTCCTTTCTCAGTACTGCTGAGATACAGTGTTTGTTAAAGAGAGAATAAAATGTAAGAATTTGTCAGAAAACAGCCCTGCAGTGTAACAGTGGCCCCTTGTCTGTATCCTCTGGTTCAGTAATGATCATCTTTGAGTGGATATATTTTTTCATTTACTGCTTTGGGATGAACTCCATGGCAAGTATAGCTTCCTGCAGGCTTCCTGATGAAGCTTGTTTCCCTGTTGAAGCCTGTCTCCATGTGGTTGGATGAATTTCCACCCCTGAACTCCAGGCCTGTCCTTACCACTGAGACAGAGACCCCCAAACCGCTTCCCTACTCAGTATTTCATGAGCCACCTCCAGTGATCTGGGTGAGAAACAGACGTGGTATCTTTTCTGTCCTTTGTACAGAAGCTACTTGGTATCTGCATTAAAGGCACAGTTGTCAAATCCTAGTCCATAGTCTACCCTTTAAAATTTCTGTAAGCTCTAAAAGTAGTTTTGAAGAATGACTTTTCCCCCAACACACTCTACTGGAAAACGACCTTCCCACAGCTGATCTGTTACAGCTTTCTTCCTCAACTTGCTGCTCGGAAACAGCGAAATATTTCAGGCTGTGGATAGTTCAGGTTTCCTCTGATCAGACATGGGTCAAATCCAAAAGCCTTTAGGGGCCAGACAGGTGATGTAAATGAGCGAGGTGGGTCTACATAAAGCCTCAGTGTTGGGTAGGCATCAGGGAATGGTGGGGACTGTGGCTAACTGAAACTCTGTGCCCCACCTCTTGGGTGGCAGCCACTCATCAGTTGATTGTTGCCATGTGGGATTAGGGATCCAGTGCTGGTAGATCTTGCAGTTTTTTCAAGAACAGTCTGGTATTTAGGTTTTTAATTTTGGCAGTTAATTCATAGCTTTCATGATCAGACAATATAAAACCAACCTGAAGGTCACAGAACTCTAGATTCTAGCCTGTTTTATGTAAGCAGTAAGCATTAGTTGATTACTAATGTGGGAGAAGCAACATGGGATCAGTATAGTCAGAGACAGCCCCCAAGGCTAGCAGTTCTGTTGAAAAGGCAAGATACACACATAGCATTACAAAATGATTTTTTAATGTACGGTTAATGTAGAGTTTAACAGTGGTTCTCAAACTTTAGTGTGCACCCGAATCTCCTGAAGGCTTGTTAAAATATACAGTATCTTGCTGTTGTTCCAGAGTTTCTAAGTCAGTGTGTCGAGGGTGGGGCCCAAGAATTTATGGTTTAAACAAGCTCCCAGGTGATGCTGTTGCTAGTATGGGGTTCCTCTTTTGAGAAGCTGTTACAAGTTGAATTGTGTCCCCCCAAAATATGCTGTTGTGTAACCCCCAAAATATATTGATATCCTGAGCCTCTCTACCTCAGAATGTCACCTTATTTAGGATTAGGGTGGATGCAGGTGTCATTGGTTAAAATGAGTCATGGAGGGGGAATAGTGTGGGCTCCTTGTCCCATGTGACTGGTGTCCTCATAAGGAGAAGGCCATGTGGAGATAAGAGAATTGGAGCAATGCACCCACGAGCTACTAGAAGTGGATGGGGGTCTAGCTCAGTGGTAGAGCATGTGCTTAGCATGCATGAGGTCCTGGGTTCAATCCCTAGTATCTCCATAAAAACTAAACAAATAAACAAACAAAACCTACAAGCTACTAGGAGATAGACCTGGAACAGATTCCCCTCCAAGCCCTCAGAAGAAACTAAGACCATAAGCCCACACCTTGTTTTCAGACTTCTGGCCTCCAGAACTGTGAGACAATAAATATTTGTTATTTTAAGCCACCCATTATATGGTACTTTGTTATAACAGCCAGAGCAAACTAATGTCAAAGCACTAGTTGAATAGATTGTGGTATA